GAAGATCATCAGGAAGGTCATCTGGACTCTGGACAGCTATTCTGCTGTTCAGTCTAATTAGCATATTAGCTCTTTATTATATGAGATGATTTTCTAACCACTATGCTAGATACCTGAAACTAATATAAAATAATATTGAATATCAACATTAACAAAAACTACAATTTTAAAAAATAAATAAAAACATTGAACTCATAGAAACAGAGTAGAGAGATAGTTGGCAGGGGCTGAACAGTGGGGGAAATGGGGAGATGTTGGTCAAAGGTTAGAAACTTCCTATTATAAGATGAATAAGGATCTAAATGTATAGCATGGTGATTACAGTTAACAATACTGTACTGTATATTTAAAAATTGCTATGAGAGTAAAGCTTCAATATTCTCAGCATAGCAACAAAATAATTATGTTAGGTGAAGGATGTTTAGCTTTATTGTGGTAAACACTTCACCATATATGTTTATCAAATCATCACACTGTATATATATATATGTTTATATATACATATATATGTTTATCAAATCATCACACTTGAACTTGTGTGACAATTACATCTCAACAAAGTCATCACTTCTTTGGAAGTTTCAGACTGGCCTTCAGAATGTGTGAGAACCAAGATAGCGTGGAGCTGGTATCCTAATGCCCCAAAGGGGCAGAAGAGAAAAGGGAGTTGGGAATGAACCCATTCTAGTTAAGCCCAAAGTTGTAAAGAACTTCAACTTTCAGTTCTTCACACAATGCCTGATACACAAATAAGTACTCAATTTGTACATATCCTCCTATACTCTCTGGTTCATATGGATGTTTGTCCATAAATTCTTAGAATAGGAACTATTCAATAGAGCTTCTTCCTTCATTTTCTTGAGAAACTGCAGCCTTCATGGAAATGAAAAAAAATAAATAAATAAAATAAATCTCTGCTCGCTGTCCAGGAGAAGCAGCATGGAAGCTTGCCATCTATCCAGGGCCTTGGGAGGAGGGAGGGGAAGAGAAAAGACCCAGAAATTACTAAAACACCAAACTTGTGCCAGACTCTGTTTTGAGTTGTAAAGTTATACTACACACAAGGTGGTGAAATCCAAAGCCATGAAATTAATATAAAACCTAGTCCAAAATCATAGAAATGCCAAGGGCTCTAGCAGAAGTAAACTTGAAACTACTCAACTGCTCTGTGGGGCCAATAGGTCTTTCCACCCGTGTGTGTGTGTGTGTATGTGTGTGTGTATGTGTGTATACAATTATAAATTACCCAATAAGCAAGCCAATAACTTCAGTGACCAATTTATTCCACACTTCATAAAAAACAGTGAGAATGATAGAACAATCCCAAACAGACTATAAAATAAATTTAAAATTATGAAGGACTTAAGAGGAGGAAATGGAAATATGTTGAAAAAATAGAACAAGTATATAAAAAGAATTAGCAGATTTTGAGTTATAAAAATAACCAAATACATTCTCAAATGAAAAATGCAGTAACTAAAAATAAACAAGTTAAAGAGTAGATTAATAGATTAAATACAGCCAAAACTGGTTTGGCTCAGTGGATAGAGCGTCAGCCTGAGAATTGAAGGGTCCCGGGTTTGATTCCAGTTAAGGGCATGTACCTTGGTTGCGGGCACATCCCTGGTGGGGGGTGCGCAGGAGGCAACTGGTCGATGTCTCTCTCTCATTGATGTTTTTAGCTCTCTATCTCCCTTCCTCTCTGTAAAAAATCAATAAAATATATTTTAAAAAATAGATTAAATACAGATGAAAAGTTTTTAATAAATGAAAGAAGGTCTGATGAAAAGCACTCTGAATGCCAACACAAAAGCAGAAAAAAGAAAACAGCCAAGCAGCACTCATACAGCATTCATCAGAGAAAGCACATGGTAACGATATCATTAAGTGTTCATTCCCCTACTAACCATGACACTATGGGAGTGCATAGCAATTTGGAAGGGTGAGATGTCAGATATTCAGAATGGCATCGCAGTGCTCAGGGCTTTTAAGCTGCATAATAGGAAAGCACTGGCCTTTGCCTGTGTGACCAGAAGCAGGAATACAATCACAATGTGTGTGATGTGTAAAATCTTTCATATAATGTTTTAGAACTCTGTTTATATCCCTAACCTGTTAGCTTGATACTCATGGTGAGGTAACTTCCCTGCTTGGCATGATCTAAGAGCTAGGTTCTAAGCCTTCATGGTACAACTGTGAGATGGGAAAATAAGTAGCAGAATTTGCCACATCAGTGTGCATGGCCTGGAAATCAGCAGACCCATCTCTGGCATAATTAGGAGATGGGGGTCCAAGCTTTGTGGTTGATCGAGATTGTTTGCTCTACTGGGTCATAGCCAATTTGGGCAGACTTTGCAAGAGGCTCAGTCCTTTACTGAGCAGTCCAGGGGCTCAGTCTTGGACAAGTTAATATCACCCTTCAAACCATAAGAAACTATTCTATATAATAAAAGTCTAATATGCAAATTGTACCCTTAGGCAGTCATTCGAAATGGAGTTCAACAGGGAGACTGGAAGTCAACCACTCGCTCTGATATGCGCTGACTGCCAGGGGGCAGCATGGAACATGTCAGCATGGTGACACTGGCAGCGGGCAGCGGTGGAGATGCTGCTGGCCAGGATGGGCCTGACAAGAGCTGAACTGCGTCAGAATGGTGGAGCAGGTGAAGGGAATCGTTGGTGGGTGGTGGCAACCAACCTCCCATGGCACCTGTACAGGGGAACTGCAACCTCTCACCAGCTACCTGGGGATGGGGGGAGGGAGGAGGAGATGGGAACAGGGGAGACAGGGACAGCAGTACAGTGAGAATATGGGGTGTCTAACAAGCTCACCCCGTTACCCTCCCCTGGGACTCCAGGGCTCGAGTGCCAGGGAAGCCCTCATGTTCAGGTGCTGGATGCCCGACAGGAGCCCACCCCGCACCTGCGCAGCATCTTCCGGGTGAGTCGGGCCACGACTGTCAGGACCGCAGGAGCCAGTTGGGGTCCCCGTAGGTTCGTGCAAGAGCAAGGTTGGTCAGAGGCCCATGCTGTGCCCTGGCCCATGGTGTCCAGCCATGCTCACCGCATCTCCCCATGGGGACTCAGGCACCATGACTCAGGTGGAGCGGGACTCACAGGGGCTCAGGGCCCAGAGGTCAGCTGGCACCTGCCCTTCCAGACACTCATGCTTTGATTGCCAGCCAGGCTCAAGGACCACACTGGCGCACAAATTTCATGCACTGGGCCTCTAGTTTATTATATGAGACTATCCAACAAACTCTAAGAGTTTCAAGTTTTACTTGACTGAAACTGAGATTATGCAGGGAGAGAATAAAGAGGAGCAATGCCCAAAGAGAAAATGATCAAGATTTTCCACAATGAATAAAAACTTGAATCTTTCAAATGAAGATGTACTGGTATATCTCACCCCAAGTCAGATAAAATGCAAGTAATAGTAGAATTGCAGAACATCACAAAGAGAAATAAAATCTTAAGAGCAACCAGAGAAAAGACAGATAACCAAGAGAGGAATCACAATGAAGCTGACAGCAGATTTCTGTGGTAACTAGTCTCCACAGATTACCCCACCAAGCTTCCCCTTCCCTGTAAGTGCATACTGCTTCTCATATCAAGAGGTGCAGCTTCCCTGGGGCTGGGTTAGAATGTGCTGACCAATAGAATGCCGCAGAAATGGGATCTGAGACTTTGGCTGTCATAAGAGGACTGGCAAATTACACTTCTTTCTTCTTGCAACTCTTGCTGTGGGACACAATCTTTCAAATCTCGGCCACCAAGTTAGAAGAAGCCCAACCCATGCAGAGTAGCCACACAAATGAGAACTAGGAAGGGCAACAATTTACAGCCCCAAGTATGATTCCACACACAGCCAAGTATTAACTGTGAGTAGTCATCTTTGGTGGTCTATCTGAATTGAGTCCCCAGATAATTGTAGCTCCAGGCAACATCAACAGGAGAAACAACCCTAATGATAACCAGGCATCTTATAGAATCATGAGAAAGAACAAAATGGCTCATTTTTTAAGACACTAAATGTAAATTTTAAGTTGATAATTAAAACATTTTTCAGTTGCAATAATCGATCCCAGAAGATAATGGAAAAATATATCTAAAGTGTTGAGAAAAAATAATGCTCAACCTAGATTTCTATAACAAACTACATCTTTTTCTAGAGTAAGATCAGAAGGTATTTTTAGACAAATAGTGTAAGTTCACCACTTAATTCTCTCACAGAGAGAAATACTACAGAACAATTGGTATAAGAAATGACTATAAAAAATGACTATAAGCAATAAAATTTATAAGTATGTTGTAAATCTAAATAAGCAATGACATGCTAAAAAGATACAATTATAATTTTAAATAGTATCTGACATGGTTAACTAATTTGTCTATTTTAGTGTTTTGAATTCATACTAAATAAAATAGTAGCATTGAGAAAATGCCCTAAAAAAGGAGCCAATATATATGAAAGCATCTCTGAGACCTTATACCCACTATTTATCAGTTCTTCCTGCCTCCTTCCCACATACATGATCCTCCCACGCCTCCACACGAGATGGTCTCAGCCCCAAACATTAAGGGATAGAGAAGAGACACTTGTAAGAAGAAAGCAAAAGAGGGCAGCCAGGCAAGAGAACTCTCCCCTAGCATTCACCAGGTGCAACATTTGATGCCTAGTTTTTCATTTTCATCTGCTTTGTCAGAATAAAAATTATGTAATGGACATACAATGTGAATGATAATTTTTAAAATTAAGGACCAAGTAATGCCTTTTGGTCAGAAGCCGGCAACTCCCATAATCATATAAACTACAAATTTTCTCCCCTCTTCTAATTCTATACATTAAAATTTTCAATCCCCTATTTAAGGTTTTCAGTAGAGAACCAAATGTAAAGAGTAGAAAAAAAGTTCAGAGCTTCTACTTCCAATTAACATAGAACTTAGTTATACTAGAAAGTAATTAATTGTTTTAAAGAAGACTATTAAGCATTACTTACTTTAATAGCAAATTTCTTTGACGCCATGGCTTACTGATTCCAAAGTAATTACAGACCTTTAACAGAAGAAAAAAGAAAGTTAAAAGTACGTATATAAAAAAATCTCTGTCTATTTAAATATTACACAGGAGAAAGGTTGGCTGAATAGTCAAATATCAATAGGTATTTGCAAGATGAATGTTCACTGATAATTAGTCTTAACAAAAATATTACATTATATTAGTAATTTTAAAACTGCCCACAAAGAAAAACACAGACCCAGATATATTCTACCGATGTTTGAAGAAGAATTAATATTAATCCTTCACAAACTCTTTAATAAAACGGAAGCATAAGAAAAACTTCTCGAGTCCAAGGGGAGCAAGTGAGCTGAGTAGCCATGTGGTCATGTCTTGGAGACCAACAGACCTTGCAGCAAGGCTGACAAACTGACTAAAGAGCAGATTGCAGAATTCAACGGAGCTTTTTCACTATTTAATAAAGATGGTGATGGAACTACAACAACACAGGAATTGGGCATTGTAATGAGGTCTCTTGGACAGAATCCCACAGAGGCAGAGTTATAGGACATGATTAACGAAATAGATGCTGAGGGTAACAGTACAACTGACTTCCTGAAACTTTTGACAATAATGGAGAGAAAAAAATTAAAGACAGTGAAGAAAAAAATTAGAGAAGTTATCTGTGTGTTGGATTAGGATGGCAATGGCTGTGTTAATACAGCAGAGCTTCAACATGTGATACACACCTTGGAGAGAAATTAACAGATGGAAAGGATGATGAGATGATCAGGGAAGCAGATATTGATGGTGATGGTCAAATATACTATGAAGAGTTGTACAAATGATGTCAGCAAAGAGACAACATCTGTATAGAATGTATTCAATTTATTGTACAAAATTATTTATTTGCCTTTTCTTTGTAACTTATCTGTAAAAGGTTTCCCCCTACTGTCAATAAATATGCATGTATAGTATTTAGAACTTCATTCCTCCATGTTTTCTTTGTTTATTTTACTATCATTGTCCTGAAACCTTATTTTAAAAATGTAGATCAAGTCCTGGCCAGGTAGCTCATTTGGTTTAGCGTGTCGTCCCTACAAGTCAGGGTTGCAGGTTCAATCCTGGATCAGGGCACATACAAGAATCAACCAATGAATGAATGCATGGGTAAGTAGAACAACAAATCAATGTTTCTCTTTTTTCCTTCTTCCCTATTTCTCTCCCTCCCTCCTTCTCATCCTCCTTCTCCCCTCTTCCCTCTCTATCTAAAAATGAATAAACAATAAAATAATTCATCAAATAGCATGATTCTTGTGGCTTACTCTGGATATACCTAAGTCCTTCTGCACACCTAAACTTAGGTGGAATTGGTCAAATGAGGGAACATCTGGGTTACCTTTTTCTAAAGTTGTTTTCTTTAGAAACTGCCAGCATGTTGTTGAAGTGTAGGGTTGTAACTCTGCATGGACTATGGATGGTCAACAATATGTACTTAAATGGTGCACTATTGCAACAGAGGTGTATTATCTAGGTACTTGCATGCTATTTTTTAATACTGTGGGCCCTATACCACAAACATTTTCTTTTATTGTTACCTGCTTTTTAAACTTTGTTTAGCCACTTTAAGAAAATCTGCTTATGGCACAATTTGCTTCAAATCTCTTTCAAGTTGTATATTTGTTTTCCACTTTAAAATTTTACCCAATTTTATACCTTCCTCTAAAAAAAAGAGAAAAACTTCTCAAATCATTAATTCTATGAGGCCACTATTATCCTGATACTAATACCAATCAGAGACATCACAAGATTATATACCAACATTTCCTCATAAATAATTGCTTGGGGTTGCAAACAGGCCCGTGGCATCCCTGCCCTGGGCTGCGATGGAGCAGCCCCCGGTGGAAGTGGCCACCAGCAGAGGCACACGCAGGCCTGCCCAGTGCTGACATCATGCTGCCCGTTTGCATGGTGCTGCCTGCGTGCGTCCCCGCTCAGTGCTGAAGTAAAGCTGCCTGCCTGTGTCCCTGGCCGGGGACATGACACTGCCTGCCTGTGTCCCTGATCTAGGATGTGGCACTGCCTGCATCTGCCCCCCACCCCCACCAGCACTGAAGTGAAGCTGCCTGTCTGAGTCCCTGTCCAGGTACGTGACCCTGCCTGCCTGTGTCCTTGACCTGAGATGTGGCACTGCCTGTGTGCATCCCCGCCCAGAACTGAGGTGAAGCTGCCTGCCCGTGTCCCTGACAAATAGCAATACTGAAATATTTCCTCTAATTAATTCCCTTTCAATGTGCATGAATTTTGTGCACCAGGGCACTAGTATAAAATAAAAGCCTAATATGCTAAGTGTCTCACTGTCTGGTTAGTCATTCAACCAATTAACTGTAATATACTAATGATATGCTAAGGCCGCTCAGCAAGTCACTATGGCGTGCACTGACCACCAGGGAGCAGATGCTCTGACTGGCAGGTTAGCTTTCTGCTGGGGTCCAACCAATCAGGACTGAATGAGATGGGCCGGACATGCCCTGGAGACCTCCCATGGTCCTTCCTTGGCTAACCAACCTCCCACACCCCTCCCCAGTCCTTATTGTGCACCACTGGGGTCCCTCAGCCTGGCCTGCACCCTCTCACAATCCAGGATCCCTCAGGGAATGTCGGGGAGCCAGTTTCAGCCCGATCCCACAGGCCTGGGTGAGGGACCCCCTGCTGCACAAATTTGTGCACTGTGCCTCTAGTCATATATATATATATATATATATATATATATATATATATATATATATATGATAGAAACAGATCCATGTTGGGGAATATATCACAGTAAAATTTCAGGCATTGGTGACAAACAGAATCTTTAAAAAGTGTTGGGGAGGTGTAAGGAGAGAGGTGGTAACAAGAGAATATTTGGCTCCAAATTGCCCAAAGCACCTCTGTAAAGGGACAATGAAGAAAATATCTTCAACTTTCTGAAGAAAATTGTTTCCAACCTCTGATTGTATTTCAACATGGGGGCAGGGGGGAACATTTTTAGATATGCAAGGTCTTAAAAACTTTAAGACTCAGGCTCCTTCTCAGAAAGCTTCTAAAGATGTGCTTCACAAAATGAGGAAATTAACCAAACAGAGAGGAAGATTCAGGAAACAAGAAGGCTGAGACAGGCAAAAGGCAGAGGAAATCCTAGGATCTCATGGAAGCAGATCGCTGCATGAGACAGTGGGGCTGGACCAGGAGAGAACCATCAGTGTAGGCAAGAGCAGGCTGCAAGGCTCTAGGGGGGAGATGCATCTTCAGAAGTATCTGCATGCCTACAGATGCATTTTAAATAACTGGTAAAGGATATAAGATTGAATTAGACCAAAACCGGTTTAGCTCAGTGGATAAAGCATTGGCCTGTGGACTGAAGGGTGCCGGGTTCGATTCTGGTCAAGAGCATGTACCTTGGCTGTGGGCACATCCCCAGTAGGGGGTGTGTAAGAGACAACTGGTCAATATTTCTCTCTCATCGACATTTCTAGCTCTCTATCCTTCTTCCTTCCTCTCTGTATAAAAATCAATAATATATATATATATATATATATATATATATATATATATATATATTAAAGATTGAATTAGGACAGCTGCATGGAAAGCTAAGCAACTGAATAATAACAGGGCAATTATTGATTCCAGGATAAACAAAAATTGTACAGAAACTAAAAAATAAAGAGTACTTTATATACAGCTACATTACAACCAGCATTTAAAATCATGGTAACACTAAATTTTGACCTAAACAGTATTATAAGGATAGAAAATAATGGAGTGTATTTGTGTATATATGTGATAGGGGACAGGAATTAAACTGAACAACAGCTCCCTTTGATGTTAATGGAATGTTTCAGAGGGCCTAAAACCAATCAAAAAACAAAACTAAAATAAACGATAACCACAACAGAACTAATAAGGCAGAAATACAGCAAGTGAATTAACGATATGGAACCAATTCTTAAAGGCAAAACTCTCCTCTCACTTGAAGAGCAAGTTGAAGAGAGCTGATATGGAGGAAAGAATGGGGTGTGAAGAATACCATAACTCATAAGCCTTGTGCACGGAACTATCTGCCTGTTTAAATTGTGTGCAGATATTTTTAAAGCAGCATTGTCCAAGAGAAATACATTGCAAGCCAGAGACATAATTTTCAATTTTCTAGTTATCTGCAGTTGATAAAAAGGTAAAGAGAAATGGTGAAAGTACATTAATATTTAATTTAATCCAATAAATTCAACACATCATTCTAGCATGCAATCAATATAAAAATATTTACATTCTTGGTGGTTTAGTTCATTCTTTGGAATTAAATGGGCATTTTATATTTCAAGCATATCTTAATTTGGACTAGACACATGCAATGTGCTCAATAGACACTTGTGGTTAGTGCTACCATAATGTTTGAGAGCATTTGGTTTAAGAAAAGCACTTATTTCTGTGTCCCAGATTACTTACTTACAGAACAGGAATAGTAATTTTTAACTCAAAATTATTAACAGGATTAAATAAAATGACAAATGAAGACCTAAACATAAGCATTTATAAACACTAGCCCTGGGCAAATGTTAATAATTACTATTACCTAGTCAATGATGATTTATTTTTAATCTAATAATAATATTTTATTCTAATTCTTTAAGTGGAAAAAAAATATTTTTATCTAAGCCCCAAATCATTTTAATTATTTATTTCTATTCTCTAATTAATGTATCTGATTTAGAAAAAAACTTGTTCAACTTAGCAAGTCAATTTAGACACAGGACTCAATGGAAAAACTAAGTTCCTGGAAAGTGGAACATGTATTTGAAAACCACTTATGAAGGTTGTCCTGAAAACTTTAGATAGATCCTTAAAAGTATATTATTTGAGCCTGGTAAACATGAAATTAATTCCCTTAAATATATTAAACTGGGTTTAAATAACTTCTGCTAAGAATTTAGGGAGTTCATTACAGGGGGCACTTAGAGGATACACAAATGGTTCAGCTAAAAACAGAAGAGGAGTTTTGTCAACAAGTACCCAACCAAAGCTGAAACATGTGATCTAATTATTTTAAATTACATACTAGTTTTCCCATATGTCCTTCCTCTTCCGAAGGACAGGTTGACCACAATCAAGGCTGTGGCAAGGCTGTTGCAAGGCTTTCAGACCATATCTACTGTTAGATAAATCATGGGCCATGTTATAGTGAAGGTTACATTTTAAACTTACAAGAAGGTTTTAGTAGACTCTTTAAGTACTCTTCTTTTTTTTTTCCCCTTTTTTTTAAATTGGTAAAGAGAAGCTGCATTTACTTTTTAAGAATGGGATCCTTCAAAAAATATCGTCCATTTTTAAAACTGTAATCTGTAGGAATCCAGGACTTAAAGCATATATTTTATACAAATTTACATGGTCTGCTAATGTAAAATAGGATGCATGAGAAAAAGGAAATATATAATACATTTGCATATTTTAAGCCATTTTTAAATATTATGTGGCATTCCATCTCTCAATATGTACATATTTTTTCATTTCTTTCTATAATGTCTGGAACCTCAAAAAAAAAATCACAATTTTAGGACAAAAAGAGGCCTTATAACTACTTCTATTCCAAGTCATGCCATCTATTCCCCAGTTGAAAACCTGGGGACCGGGCAAGGGTCTCACAACTGAAGACCAAAGGCGAGAGAAGATCTTGTCAACTCACTACGTACAAACTAGCACTACCTGTCACCTGCAGCACTGCCAAGGTCAATTAGGCACCACATTAAAAAAAAAATGAAGTAGATATCTATCTAATGCATCTTTTACTGTCCCCAAATCTCACATTAGGACTTCTTAAACGGAAGTCAAAGCACTGAACCTATTTTTACGTATAAATAACATTTAAGCCACATGTATCATGAAGTCAAAGTAGAGAGACATATAAACATGCAAACAGAAGATCAAAGTGCTTTGTATTGAAAATAATAGGCAACAGATCACATGTGTGGTTTATGTTTGGGTCATAAATGTGAGTTCTTCAGTACATAATTTCTTTCCTCTTTAAAATACTGATATTCTAACATTCATTTAATGAAAAAAAAGTTATTATTAGCTTCTGTATTAGGTTTTAAACCAGGGAACATCTTGAGATTTTTCTAGACTTGTTTTACTGACCACTAGAAAGTAAATGTACAAGCAAGTATGCACCTTAAAAAGTTACTTTGCTAGGCTCTTAGAGTTGCTTTCAGGAGGGAGCAGCATGCTCAGTGCCTGGGGTTAAAAAGCCTTGCTATCAGAGCTGCCAGTTCAAGTCTAAAGTCAGGGAAATTTTTATTTTATTGCATGTTTTTCAGAGGTTCAAGACAAACTCCAAAAAGGTGAATTTTCCAAATATCTAAAAGCAAATGACTTTCATAAGCATGCTGACAAGTTAAAGTATATTATAAATCTCATTCTCTATTTCATCATTCCTGAGCCCACGTTCTCTGGCCAGAAAACAGGCATTCTTTCACAAAGAGACTTTGATAGCGTATGACCCCACCAAAAATATGTGTGCATGCGTGTCTTTAGTAGAAAGGGAAAGATCCTAAGATCCTTAAGAAAATTAATTTGGGAGGGAATGGAAGTAGATTAAACATCACATGATTGTCCTGTCATTTAAATACAAAGCAAAGATAAATTCTAATAAAGAAAGTCAATGACCTTCTAGATTATTTGGTGGGAAAATCCAATGTACTCTGAAATTCACATTTGTCTTCTTCTTAGCATTGCTGGCTTATGTAACAAAAGCCAAAGCAGTCCAGAAAATAACTTCAGATTTCTAATCTCTGGATTTTAAATTTTATCAAGAAAATTATTATATTTCCGCCAATCATCTTTAAAAATACTTTCATTGGCTATGGGAGCAGAAACTGAAAACAACAAAGGCACAGGACTTCTGAAGAAGTAACTATAACTCAAGAATGAGAAATCATTTCATTCCCTTTTTCCCATCCAATTTTATCACCAAAAAAAACAAAAAACAAAAGTATCAAGGAAGGAATTATAAACTTTAACAAAATATCAAGGAAAAATGACAAATGAGCAAAGATCTTGCTGGTGACCGCCTAGATAAAGTTTGAAAAGGCAACTTCAGTATAAAAAAGAACCACCTTTTCCTATTATTCTCATGGTAATTTTGAAAGCCAGCTTATAAAAAAAAAAAAAATAGAAACAAAAACTGAGAAGCTCTAACAATGAAGCAGGATAATGCAAAATGGCAAAAAATAAAAATTAAAAAATTTGGTCTTTTTTTCTTTTGTCTTTAAATGTTGATCAAATATTGAAATGCTCTATCATGATTAATTCCACAGAATAGTCCTTTTAGTCACTCTATACCCTTTACCCAGTCAATTGACCCATGATCTGGGCTTTCCCTTCCTGATATACCCACAGAAAATCCCCACCCAGAACTGTATAGGATGCTTCATAATAGACAATGTCTACTTTTTAATGTTTGTCAGAAACAAACATAGGACCCACCATGAGGGAAAATAAAGTCCTCAGATTCTAGTAAAATAGACATGTGTTCAAATTCTGCCCCTGCAGGTGACCTCTGACAGGCTATTCAACTCTTTTAAGTCTGTGGAATTTTTTATCTAAGGTGTCCTGTGAGGATTATGTGAAATCTGATATAATATTTGGCCCAGTGCCTGGGCTCAGTGAGCCATCCTATATAATCTGTTAGCCATCCTATATAATCCTATATAATAAAAGGCTAATATGCAAACTGTCCCCTGGGTAGTTTGAACGACAGGGAGTTTAACCGCTCTCTATAATGTGCACTGACCACCAGGGGGCGGCTCAGAACAAAGGAAGGCCCTGGCCAGTAACAGGCAGCCAGGGGAAGGAAGGCCCTGATTGGCCCTGATCACCAGCTAGGCCTAGGGGCCCTTCCCAGGCACAAATTTCATGTACTGGGCCTCTAGTAATCATAAACACTGAGAGCACAAGAAGACAGTACATAACCAATCCAAACCCCACTCTGATAACTGTTTTCCAGTCACTTAACCACAGCAAAAAGCTTCTAATAATCAGTAATGCAACGGTCTTAAAAATCTAATCCTTTCAATGTAAAAACTTTAGAGATGGAGAACAGTTCATTGATTACCGTGGGTGGAGTAGGGGCTCAGGGCGGGGGGTGTTGATGGAACTGTTCTGCATCCTGATTGCTATGGTGTTTATACAAACAATGCATTGGTCAAAACTCATGAAATTTATACCTAAAAGAGTAAATTCTATTACATGTAAATTAAGAATATTTTTTAAACTGCAAAACAAAAAATCCCAATCATTTTTAACTATATATTAAACCAAAATAATAACACAATTGAACTTTTAAGTACCCAAAATACTGTAACTGCAATATTCTATATATTATCCTGTAACTAACATAAGGCCTATTCAATTTTAGTTACCAGCTGTGATTTATTCAAGCACAAAATGTGAATACCATAATAAACACAAGGCATTGCTTTGCTAAAATAGCAGCAAAAAGACTTTGGAAATGTACCTACATCAATCAACATTAGATATAAGTGGTTCTCTCCATTTACTGACAAAAGGGAGTTTTATAGCATTAGGCTTAACTTCTTAAGTAGGTTACTTAAGGTACATGAGTTATTATTTCAATCCCTAAATAGTAATATAAAAATAGTAAACTTTAAAGATTTAATAAACCTTAAAATGATTAGAAATGTACACATCAAGAGAGACACCCACTAAAAAGTCAATGCATACATTTCGCATTTTCAAAAAGGCCATAACATGTTTCACTCAGAAAACAATTCATATATTGCACCAAGGTAAAGTCCCAATACAAACACATTTTATCCCTATCATCGTCTGGTTACATTGTAGGTAGAAGATTTGGCCACCAAATAATTACTTTTTCCACCCCAATTCAAATAAACTGGAGAAGAACAAGGCAATGTGAAATTAACGCTATGAAAAGTAAGAACAACCCCAGGGCCCCTTAACTGGTGAAGGTATAAACAAATTACGGTATATCCAGGCAATGAAATACTGCTCAGCAATTAAAAAGGAATGAACTATTGATACTTACAAAAACAAAGATGGCTCTCAATTATGATGGGTCAGAGAAGCTCCTCCAACATCCAACCACCCCAAAAAACAGCTTCTCCTATAAGATTCCATTTAGATAAAATGCTAGGAAATGCAAATTTATCTAGTGACAGAAAGCAGATTAGTGGCTGCCTAAAAGACAGCAGCCAGATAAGTAAATAAATGAATGAACAAATGAATGAATAAATGAATGATAGGGGCCTAAAAGATTACAATGGGCAAGAGGAAACTTTTGTGGGTGACAGATATGTTATTTTGATTATGCTGATGGTTTCACTGGTGTATACATGTAAACCACATAAAATTGTACAATTCAAATATGTGTAGTGTACTGTATGACAATTATCCTATATAATAAAGATGTACAATAATATGCAAATGCTCATTATCTTTTATGTGAAACGTAAGGACTGACCAAGTAACAACCGTAAAGACTGGATCACAGATCAGGAGGAGGGTGGGGCAGTGAGCTACAAGAGTCGGGTAGAGGGCTACAGGAGGGGGAAGGCAGCAAGCTATAGGGGTGGTGGGTCGAGGGAGTTACAGGAGGGTGGGGCAGTGGGCAGAGAGCTACTGGGGAGCTACTGGTGCATGGATTCGTGTGCAGGGTTACTAGTAGCTCAATAAAGTTGTTTAAAAAGAAAACCATTAAAAAAAATACATCTTCCTGGCCTGGTACAAGTATACCTCAGAGATAACACAGGTTAAGTTCCAGACCACAGTAAGAAAGCATGAATTACAATAAAGCAGGTCCTAATCTTTCTACTGATGAAGGGTATTGTCTTCCATTTGTAAAAAACCCAAGATCTGTGAAATGCAATAAAGGAACTTCAATAAAACCAGGTATTTTTATGTGAAAATCAGAAGCAATGAATACTGCACTTATGAAATATTGTTCTTCCCTATATTCATAGCATATAAGTATTCAGTACATTTTGCAACACTCACATGTGTCTAAATAAAAATAAAAAATAAAAAAAAACAGGGTCTTCATTCTTCTTTTCGCAATGAATAGATGGAGGAAGAGGAGACAGAAAGGCTGGACAACTTGCTTAGGACTTAGAAAAATAAATGCAAGTTGATTGATTACTGAGAAGGTGATTCACCACATTCCCAGTCCAATTATCTTAATTGCCTTCAAATTCCTAATTAAAGTAAAATCATGTAAGGGAGATAAAAACCTAACATACAACAACATGGAAAATGTAAAAGTCATTTGCAGTTTCTTTAATACCTTACTGGTTCCTTAATTCCATCCACAGGTCTCAACCTCTGCTGACAATGGGCTGGAATCTTTAAAAAAATAATAATAATAACCTACAAAACTCCCCAGGTGATTTTCATGAATAGCAACATTAAAGCTCCTGAGACAAATCAGATTTAGACTTCTCATTAAAGCAAGGCAGAAAAAAGCAAGGAACCACAAAAAATATTTGATAAACCACGGCCCAAAGTTTTTCAAATCAATATTGAACGGTTGAATACATGCAGGCCAACATTTAATAAAAGTAAAAATGTGCACATAGGTTTTGTCAGAACAGAATTTACATAACAACAAACCAGACAGACAAATTCTCTTCAACTTTTTAGAATGCTAAATTGATATATATTTGAAATATATATATATATTTTAATATTTATTATTATTTATATATATATTTTTATATATATATTTTAAATTGATTTCAGAGAGGAAGAGAAAAACAGAAACATCAATGATGAGAGAGAATCGTTGACTGGCTCCCTCCTGCAAGCCCCTGAGGACTGAACCTGCAACCCAGGTATATACCCTGACTGGGAATCTAACTGTGACCTCCTGGCTCATAGGTCCACACTAAGCTACTGAGCCACTCAACTACTGAGCCATGCCCATCGGGCTAACTGGGTATCTTGACATTTTGTTGATGAGCTACAAGCACTAAGAATGTGCCATATATCTAATGTAATGAACTGACAATATATTATGAACTGTTGAAGCAGCACAGGTTGAAAAGAGGCTATCTGTCCACATCCTGAATGAGTGCTTCCTGCTCTTTAGGATGCACTTTTTAAGGGAGATTCTGACTCAGCGGGTCTCAGGATGAGGTCTAAGACTACATTTCTAACAAGTGGCGGTGATGCTGCTGGTAAGTAGACCACATTTTGAGCAGCAACTTGATTACTGGTTGTAAAATAAACCAATTGGTGTACAATATGGTTATGCCTAGGTTCCAGGAAATAAGTGTCAATACAATTTATTCCTTGAAAAAGATGGGAGGGGAGTGGCATAGGAGAAGGAGCAAGTGAATACTTAAATACTTGTCTGGTCTAGCAGTGTGAAGAAGGGCAGTATACAGGCACCTCAGTTCATTGCACTTCACAGGTGTTGCATGTTTTACAAGTGGAAGGCAAGACCTTCCACCTGCAAAATGATTATGGCTTTATTGCAGGTCTGGAATCAAACCCACAATGTCTCCTAGGACCTAGGTAAATCTGTAGTATTACTTGCCCCAACACAGTAGCTGTCAAGGTTGACAGAAAACGTTATTACTACAGCATTCTTCTGATACTCAATAAAAGTATTAAATGAATGAATGAGTATGTACAACCTGAATTTATGTCACAACCCAAAAACGTTTGGGAAGGGGACTATATTTTTACATATAGATATTTGGCACAGTAAACTGATCCACTTATTATAGTCCATTTTGCCCTAAAAAAAAAATAATTTTCCAGACTAATACTTCCAATTTTAAAGTCCAAGCTTCCTGCACCCTAATGTTTAACATCTTTTTAGCTCTTTGAACACAATAAAGAGAGATGGAAGCACAGGAAGAAGGATTCAGGGAAGAAAAAAAAAAAATGGGAAGAAAGGGACAAACAGTTCAGTTCAAGTGACCTAACATCTTAGGTTGCCAGGAGTCCCAGGCTCTTACCTATGATGGTGGCAGGGTTTGGGCTCGGGCTTTTATTGGTTTTGTTACTGTCCAGGGTCACTCGAGAAGTAGGGTCTGGCTTTGGGAACTCAGAGTAAAGAGGCAGCAGGCTCTGAAACAACCTTCAGAAGCTCTGGAGGCTCAGCTTCGGGTAACTTTCTCTGCCCAGGGTCCCCCACGCGACAGGGACCGCTGCCACCGCCCGAACCAGCACGGTCTGCGCAGCCGCGCTGTGGGCTTGAAGCCACTGCCAGAACTTAAGATGGCGGCGAAACACCGGCCGACGAGCCTGGGTATCGCGAGGAGTCTGCCCAAAAGAAACATGGCCTCCGCTCTTGATCTCGCGGCTTTCAAGAAAGAGTCCAAAACAACAACAACCGCGGCAAAGACTGGCTCTTTAGAGCCAGGGACTGCTGGGAATGATTGGCAGGTGATGAATCACGGTTACCCCCACAGCTCGATAGCGGAAGTGATTGGAAAAAATAAAGGGGGACATTTCTATGGTAGCGTTTCTTGGCAACGGACCCTCAAGGATGGAAAGATTCTTCGAAATCTTTGATTGGGGAAGATTATAGAGAAGACAGGTTTGAAAGCAAAGGTGGCTTTTACAATGCGGGATACACTTTAAAATAACCATAACCGTAATTTCCTTAGAATGGTAGAGAGGTAAAAGTTTTGGTAAACGGAAAAGCAACTTCTCTAAAGCCCTCCATAGGAAGGGATGAGGTTAGAAGCGGCTGCACCGCGCATGCCCGCTTTCCAACCCAATCCACAGAAATGGTGATTAAGTCCTGTTCTCCTGGTTTTCTAGGCAGCCGCACAAGAAGGCGGGCCATGGGCTCTGAACGACAGGATCGGGAGCTTCGTGATTGGTCAAACCGAGGAGGGGGGCACTGAGAATCGTTTACTACTTTTTTTATTCGTTTAGTACGTGCCTCTTAACCACGCGCCATAAAGAAGGTGCTGTGCCAATTTGATACGATATTTAAGTTTTTCAATTTCAACAATCTGCTGAGATTGATGCTGACTAGGCCACGCCCCTTGAGAGTGCCGCTAAGAAACCCGCCCTCCATTCTTTCCGGCCAAGGCCGCTGCTTTCTTGGCTGAGAGCTTTCACTAAAACCCGGAGAGCGGAATCCCGGGGGAGCCGGGGTAATCGCAGAGCTGCGCATGCGCCATCTCCCGGCGCGGGCGCGGGTTGCCTGGACCTGTGGCTGCTTCCGCGTGCGGCTCGGCCTCTGGGGGCTGCGGGGTCGGCGGCCCAGCGAGGCGCGGCGGCTGGCGGGCAGGTGAGAGCAGCGCTGCAATCTTAGGTGGAAAAGCCAGCTTTCTACCCGGCGGAAGAGAGGGCCGGGGGGCGGACCGGTGCCTCCTCCCCGCTCTCCGAAAGGTCAGCGGTGACCTCCCGGAAGGATATTTGGGGGCGGGGATAAGGAGGGAGCAGGCTGCTCCGAAAGCTCAAGACCAACCTTTAAAAAAGCCACAGGCTCTCAATACTCGTCGGTGGCTGGAAGGTGGATGGGAGGCATGTCCCAGGGTCCTGGGAGAGCTCCCGGTGCAGAGAGAGCCTTCCCGGCCTCCCGTCTCTGCACGGCCGCGCCGTGAACGAGGTGGAAGCACCCATTGCCCCAGCGCTGCCCCCTGCCAGCTGCACCCTGTGCCCCGGGTCCCTCCTCTCTCGCTGGGACGGGCGCTGTAAGCCTGTGTCTACCTGGGATGTGGACGTGGACCTCACAACTGTGGTACAGCGAGTGTGGCGTTGCCAACCGTGTGAAAGCAGTAGCAGGACTCAAGGCGCTTTGAGGTCACATGGATGGAAATCTTTTCGAGGTGGAGACCGCCTGAGGTCGGCTGCTGCTTTTCCTCGAAGGGGACCATGCCCCAAATCCTGTTACTGTTTTTCAGAGGCTCTCAACGGCAGTTCCATTCATTCATTAGCATTGCCAGTTCATCTATAATAATAGGGTGCCCCCCAAAATGAATACACACACTTTGAATAATGACAAAGGCAGTGTTTATTAAAATGCATTTCATTTTCAAAGTTGAACTATCACTGTTACAGTGTGTATACATTTTGGGGGACACCCTGTATATATAGATTATGTGATACATATGTACACTATGTAATTTACATATACTTATTATATACACTAAGTGGCCAGCTTATTATAATCTCTGAACACATAATAATCTGGCCACTCAGAATACATACATACATACATATTTATTTGTTAGAGCGGGTGCATGAATTCGTGCATGGGTGAGGTCCAGCCAGCCTGGCCAGGGGGAGGGGACATGGGCAGTTAGCTGGCTTGCCTGCTGGTCAAACTGGTCGAGGGGACAATTGGCATATTAGCCTTTTATTATATAGGAATATACACAGGTCTCTTTAGTCCTATGGTCAGCAAACTGTGGTTTGCGAGCCACATGTGGCTCTTAGACCCCTTAAGTGTGGCTCTTCCACAAAATACCACAGCCTGAGCAAGTCTATTTTGAAGAAGTGGTGTTAGAAGAAGTTTAAGTTTAAAAATTTTGGCTCTCGAAAGAAATTTAAATCATTGTACTGTTGATATTTGGCTCTGCTGACTAATGAGTTTGCCGACCACTGGTCTAGTCAATCCTGGAATAGGACTGGCCTCCGGGGGCTACCACAGCCCTCCAAGGAGCCAGGGAAGTGGTCAGGGTGGCACATCACAGTGTTCACCCTAAAGGTCGGGCTTTGAAGGTCATAGTGAGATGTGCTAGAGAGTAATGGGGGTGGGGAGGGAAAAGCGTTAGAGGGGGCTCAGAGAAAGGTTCTCTGAGTAGGTAACATCTGGGATCTCTTTTTTTAATCCTCACCCAAGGATATTTTTTTCATTGATTTCTAGAGAGAATGGAAGGGTAGGAGGAGGGGCAGGGGGAGAGAGAGAAACATGGATTGATTGCCTGCCACACATGTCCCACCGGGGTTGGGGAACTTGCACCTAAATACATGCCCTTGACCAGAAATTGACCCTTTGACCCTGTGACCCTTTGGCGTGTGGGCCAGTGCTCTAACTACTGAACCAAACCATCAGGGCTAAGTAGGTAACATCTGAACTAACAGCTGAAGTACCAGAATGAGCCATCTTGTGTAGAACAAAGGGAACAAGACTCTACTTCCCACTATGCACTGAGAATGTAGCAGAGAAACAAAACATGATTGCTGCCTTCTGTTATAGTGGGTGGCAGTTACCACTTTTTACAGATATTGACTCCCTGCTGTAAAGATGGAGTAAGTAAAAAACAGATTGGGACTAATTCAGAGGAAGATAGCGACGATGAGAAGTAGAGTTCTCAAAAGTTAGTCAATTTGGTAAAGACTTTTAATCTACATATTATTTTCTCCTTCTATACAGCACTTAATTGTGTCTTATTAGGATTGTGCCTTTCTTTTCTCTGAGGATGGGAACCGTGCCGTATTCATCTTGGTAGTCTCTTTCCCCCTCCCCCCAGTTTAATGTCTTGCTAACACCTAATAGATACTAAGTAAACATTTGAATAAAATTAATCTCATGCATATTTGAAGTGAAAATCAGTAGTCCCTAAATGATAAACACTGTAAATATGACTGTACTTGGATCTGTTTTTACAGTATTCCCCAGTTTTATAAGTTATAACTCAATATTAATTGAAATATTAAAAGATACAGTAGCTTTAGTCAAACAGGAATCTCCAGAGGTACCTATTTTTATAAATGATTTATATTGAAGGTAATATACTTCCAATAATAATAATAATAGCTGCCATGTATTTAATACTTCCCACATAATAGACACAGTACTAATAAATACACAAGTATATATGTAGTAGCCTTCATTGTGTAGCCCTATATTACAGATTATAAAATTGTGGCAGCAAAGAAGTAATTTGCCCAAGATCATAACTAATTTGTGATGGAGATTAGAGCCTGATTCCCTTCATTACTCAAAGCTTCATTACACTAGGACACTGATATTTAATCAGTAGGCAGCTTTAACTTTAACAAGGTTTGTCAGAGAAACAAATATGAAATTATTCACCATCTTTGCTGTGCCCTTGAGTTTTCCTGTTTTCTTCACAATTAGCTTTCCTGACTCTCACTTTAGAAGCTTAGATCCACCTCACGCTAACCAAAAGAACCTCAAAGACCTCAGAACCTCTCTCTCGAGAATCTGGGTGTTTTTATTGACATCTAGACTAAGTGAAACTGTGCGGAGAAGTAGGCCTCCTTCATGGGGACCACTTCCCTTAGCCATTTCAGTCCTCTCCTGTTCTTGCTACACTCCTGGTTGACCCCGTGATATTTTTTAATAATAATAATAGATAACATTCACTGAGTTCAGACTAAGTGCCACATATTGTGCTAACTGCACAACCACCTCATGATTAGGAAATCATTCTCATTTTTTCAAATGATGGAACTGAGGCATAGTGAGGTTAAGTGGACTCATCCAAAGTCACACAGCCAGCTGTTGAGTGGTAAAGTAGAGGTTGAAAGCCCAGGCGAGCACGATTCCACAACTCATTTTAACCGTTACAGGACAGTGCATTCTTACTAAAATGTTTGGTTGTGTCTTACCTTCTGATGTTGCTATGCAGGAACTAGATCCTGATGGGTGTTTATGCTGTACTAAGAAATTTAGAGTACAGTTTCTAGTCAGATACATCACTGAAGGCCTTTAAACAAATTAGAAACACAATCACATTTGTTTGGGGGGAGGTGGGGGAAAATGGTGTTTGCAAGATAGCGGTGTTAGTAGTGTGGAGAGTGGATTAGTGGGGAGTAGGCTAAACCAATGGTTCTCAAACTTTGACTTCAGAATTACCTAGAGAATTGGTTAAAACACAGATTACTGGACCCCACCCTAGAGTTTCTGATTGAGTAGGTCAGGGGCGGCCCAAGAATTTGTATTTCTACTGAAGTTCCCGGCTGATGCTACTGCTACTGGTGAGGGGGACCACATTTTGAGAACCACTGACTAGAATTAGCCAGGAGGTCATATGAGGTAATGAGGACTGTGGCTGTGGGGAGAAGTTACATAAAAGAAATGCCCTGTCAAGTGACAGGACTGTGTGACTGACTGGATGAACAGTATAAGGAAAAGGGTAGAGTTCACTTTATCCAGATTTCTGAATTGAATGGCCTGGTAGATAAAGCCTTTAAAAAAACAACAACAAAAAAAAAAAACAGCAAATGCAGATTAAATAGCATTTTGGAAAGAAAAGAGATTCATTTTCACCTAAGATGAATTGAGACTGTTGGCACAGTTAGGTAAAGGTGAACAGTAGCTGTCGGAGATGAGAACCTATGAGCTGGAGCTGAGGATGCAGGAGTTGTTAGTGATAGCAGAAGCTTTGGGTGTGACTGAGACTACCCAGGAAACCAGAACACAGGGACAAGACTACCAAGGAGGGATCTTTAATAAGTGTGAATAGGTAAACGGAAGCCAAGGGTCCATTAAAGGAGACTGAAACAGAATAGACTAGAATCTTAAGTATACTTAAAGGGTTTTGAGGACACATCAAAATTCTTAGATCAAATAAGGGGAAAGATTGGTGATCTTTACCGTAGTAATTTCCATGGAGAATGAAATGAAAGCAGATAACTTGGGTTTGAAGATAGAAGGAGGAAGTGACTGGGAAAAAAATCCATTATTTGAAAGGAATCAGATTATATAATAGCTGGAAGGGAGACAGATAAAAGGCAGCTGCCTTGGGGAGTTTGTGCTTGGTTCTTTTCAGGGGAGAAAAATGGTCAGGTTTTGCAGAGGAGGAAGACCCATTACTAGTGGGAGGTGAGGGCCACAAGAGAGGATAGAGGAGTTAAAATCTGTAGACAAGAGTAGAAAGTGGCACTGACTGGAGCATAGGTAGAATAACAGGTTCTTCCTCTGACACAGCGAGGAAGGGGGTTAAGGTGAGAGCTGAGATGGGTGGGTAAACTGTGGGGATAGGAAGTTGAGGATGCTAATACCTAGTAGCCACAA